TACCGTTCTGGTCATCGAAACTGCATGGTCTGGATTTTAACGTGTAAGACAGTGATGTAGACGGCTTAAATGATAATTCAAGTGTATTAAAAAGAGATAAAAGATAAGTTGATACATTTCTACTATGCGGCATTGCCGGATTTTGCGTCAAAATTTCAAACCGTACCAGTAGGTGTTTACGATAAATGTTGCATCTAGGGCAGTAACTTAATTTTTTACAATTAGTTATTCATTTTACTACAGCTGTAATAGATTCTTAAACAACTGTCTAACAGAAATGAGCATTATTATTGAATAGCTTAGATATATTATTTTCGTTTATTATTTTATTTCTCGTTCGAATCAGCAACACTGTATTCCTTTTTTATTTGGTCTCTCTGTCTGTGAACTCGTCGTATATATTTATCTCTCTTTCGTATGCATTAAAGTACAGATCGTGGAAATAAAATGACCAGGGCTAGTATACAAAAAATACAGTGACCCGGCGCGGCGGTATGATATTTTTATATCTGTAAGTACCGGTGGAAGATTGAATTAATTTGTCGGTTGATGGCGGTGTGCACTTAACCTGGCAACCTAGTATCTATGCATTTTCATTTTTTGACTTTGAACTGAGATAATTATCAAAAATGTAAAACATTCAATTTTAATATCAACATATTCAATGCAATTAGATGTGTATTAATCAAACAGAGGAAACCGAAAAAAAGAGTAAAAACAACTATAGCGCAATAGTTAGACTTAGTTTAATACCAAACGTAAGATCCGCAGACCGCCAAATTATTACCCTTTCGAGTCACTTCATTCTGACAAACTCATTTCAAAACTATGACTAAAGAATACAAGGACATATAGCACCCGAGGCCAAATTGTTACCATAGCTCCAAACAGTGCCGTGACCATATATTTTTCTTAACTTAGTTACTTGAAGGGATATTTATATTTTTGATAAATGTTTTGATTACGCCTCCATTGTCTAGGTGGTGGTATCATACTAATTAATTACGAAAAAAACGTATTAAAATGTTAACAAAAGGCATAAAACTAGTATCGACGTATAGCGCATATCAAGTACATATAGTATTAGACAAATAATTACCAAATTCAATAAGAAAACGCTAAAAAGGTGGAGTGGACTGTTTATTTACTTATGAAATGCAACTCCTGGTTCTTTCTTATTGTTGCGGCTTTTACACTTGAAAGCTGAACAAGTCACCATTGTAATAAAGTTTATACAAAGTTCACCACACACAACAAATTATTAAAAATCGCTAAAATTGTCGCTGTTGACGAGGTGGTGACTCAACCGTAGGCTCCAAAATGATGGAGTCTAACGTAACAAATTCTGCTGCAGCCCGTAAATGGGTCCACGTATTCCATGTCCTTGTATTCTTTAGTTATTGTTTCAGAATGATAACATAACCTTTGTTTTAATTTGGTTTGATTAGGTAATATAAAAGTTTAGTGATCACTGCATTTTTACACCAGTATAGACAGAACTTACGTTGGTAAAAACAATAATACATATAATTTGGTAAAATAAGAGCGGTGTTTCTGTTTTTTTAAAGTGGATCGCCAAAAGGCAGTATTCTTTATACAGGGTGGTCCGAATTGTATTCGGGAAACTTCGGCAACATTCTGTAGATTAAAATAAGTAAAAAGTTCGTATAAAATCATGTTCTAAAATGTTTGGTTTTGGAGATACAGGGTGTAGAAATTTCATTTTTATTTCTATTTTTTCCAAATAATTTCTGAGCCTGAGCCAACGCTGAAATTTTGGTGAAAATTGGTGTCTGGGTATTTTTTGACATAAAAAATTCAATTTCAATTTTACTATACGACTCTTACTTGTAGGGGACGCTACCTACATGATTTTAACTGATTTGAAGAGTAATAACTTTTGATCCGTACCTGTATAAAACTACTAAGCGAAAAATATATATTTCCATCATAAAAATACATTTCTATCATTGTTTACGTAAAGAAGGTCTCTTGGTAAAAATCGCTACGAGTAATTGTTCTGAAGATATTTGGAATCGAAATAGACAATACATGTTATAACTGACAAAAATTTAACATGTTGACTGGATAGTTATTAGTCTGGAATAATAACTTTGAAATGTTTTTGTGCCAAAGATTCAAAAGCAACTTCGTTTTTTTCTAGAAAAATTCATGATTAACTTAAAAAGATAAAAAGTTCCTATATTTATCATTTCAGTCAAATAACTATCCAGTCAACATGTTTATTTTTTGTCAATAATGACATGTATTAACTATTTCCATTCCAAATATTTTGAAAACGGTTGCTCGTAGCGATTTTTACAAAGAGATGTTTTTTACGTAAAAAAATACGGAAATGTATATTTTTACTCAGTCGTTTTATATGAACGAAAAGTTATTATACTCTTCAAATCGGTTAAAAAGCATGTAGGTGGCGCCCCCTAAAAGGAGTCATATTGACATCGAAATTAAATTTCTCATGTCCTAAAACACCCAGACACCAATTTTCATACAAATATCGGCGTTAATTCAGGAATTATTTGGAAAAAAACGAAATAAAAATGAAACTTCTATACCCTGTATCTCCGAAACGAAGCATTTTAGGACATACAGTTATACGAACTTTTTGACTTTATTTTTGATTTTATGTTTATTTACCGAATATGCTGTCGAAGTTTTCCATATAACAATTCGATGTATATTAAGGAACAACCGCCGTACTTAAAAAATTACCTCGTTGTTCGGCGGTATTGAATGTTAATAAATATGTAAAACCTAACCTAACGATGGTCTTTCTTTTGCCAATTGTCTATGTTGCCGGTGGTAATTTAGCCACTTTGTATATTAAATGATTTTGTAAGGAAGTTCTAAAGTAAGCCACAGTTAGAGCGTAAAAAAATTGATATTTTAGGATACGTTTAAAGAAAAGAAGCAAAACAGTACTCATTCTTTCGCAGAGGTTAAGTATGAAGAGTGTGAAAACCAGGATTGGCAAAGGCCACCCGCCGTCGCCAGAAACAGATAATAAACCGAACTGGAACCTTTTTTTATTGTGCTCGGTCTCGATTGCTCCAGTTGTTCGCAATAAGAATGCGAATTTTTGAAAAACGAAGGGCACTTACACCATAAAACTCGGTAGGTATGAGGTCCGGTGACATAACAGTACTCTTATTACGGTTCGGTTTTAGAAATTTGCATCCCATGTAACGCAATTTTTTCTGGACAGAACTGCCAAAAAGATTTTGAAGTTTTATGTTCACTACCGACGGCAGTTAACTTAAAAAAGGTCGTTTTTTATTATTTTAGAAGTTGATTTATGGGTTGCAGTAGCCAGAAAAAGTTACTTCAAAAAAATCATGTTTTTTTGCTACTGAAACGGAAATCTAAGAAATAAAGAAGTTAATTTTTAAAAATTATCACTAAGCTTCATTCAGAACCTCGCAATTAGTAGATTAAATTAGTGGTTTTAATTAGCGTAGAAGTTTGTTCCTCTAATTTGAATGTAAGCATTCAGAACGTTAAAATAGTGGTAGGAATTTTCAATTAGTGGAAAAAGTTAACAAACTTTTGAATTTTCCACTAATTATACTTCAAAATTTGCGAGGAATGTCATTTTGGCCTTTGATTATCATCCGTCAAGAGAAAATGTATTATGGGTAATTCGCCACTGCACTGCAAGAAAATCTACAAAATAAAATAGTTATTTTTTGTAAATACTTTTGCGTTAAACCTAAACGGACACTGCTTGTCAGAAGTTATGTTTACAGTTTACAAATTTGCCTACCAAAGAAAAAAATGCTTAACGTTTCGGAAAATTTATATCTTTCCGTCGTCGGAAGCAAAAAAAAATACAAAGAATAAAGAAAAAAACAATTTAAAATATTTTAAATTCAACTATTCGAGAACACTTTACTTTTTTAAAACAGATCGTCTACAAGAAACCGTTGACGTTCTGTTAAAATGACATTATATCCGAAAAAATAAATAAAATAACTATTTTATTTTGTAGATTTTCTTGCAGTGCTGTGGCGAAATACCCATAAAGGATTTTTTTGGAGAGACGAATCCGCCACATAGGTATAGACATTTTTTAAGAGAAAATGTAGTTAGAAACCAAAAGTTTATTGTTTTATGAGCTAAATAAATATTAGGCTTTCTCTGTGGATACAACTGATTACTGCTAGTTTTTAGACATTGTGAATGATCGTAAACTAAAAAGTATAAAGTGTAATTGAAACTACTAATTTATTCTACTAATTACGAGGTTCTGAATAAAACTTACTGCTATATAAGAAATAAACTCAAAGTTAATTTAATGAAAGTATCAAGGGTATCAGCTAAGGAATATCTGTTTTGTAAGATCCATTTTGGAGAAATGTGTCACGCACAAAACACTAGTACAGGGTGAGTCTTTTTGTTTTATTTCGTCCCCAGAAACACGTCTATAAGGGTATTTCCGTGAAATTTTTTTTGGAAAATTTGTAAATTTTTGAAAAAAATTTGGAAATGAATTAACAAAAAAAAACATAATATCTTCATAATATGACAACATAGATTGTAGATTAAATTTACAAGAAAGAGACCCTAGAAAATTTATTTATTCGTGTGAAAAGCCTTGCGTATTATAAAATATATGTATATATAAAAATACTAATAAAAAAATAGACAAAAAATTTAAAGACAAACAGAAGAAAAATGTAGAAATAAAATTCAAGAAGGTGCCCGGTGGCGTAGAGGTACAGGCTCTCGTCTACCAATCTGAAGGTAGTGGGTTTGATTCCCACACCCGGCATTTCATCAGCCGACTATTTTTATTAAAATAAAAATAGTTTGGGTACCTAGGTCGACTCAGCCTTAAATGAGTACTTGGGATTCACAATCCTGAGGTAATAATAGGCGGTTGAAGCGTAGTGCTAGCCACATTACCTTGCTTGTATACCGAACGGCTCTAGTATGGCACTATCCTTGCTACTCCCAAGGCGTTAAACGCTATATACGGGAGCTATTATTATTATAAAATTCAAGACAGTTACAAATATAAAATTGTAAAAAAAATAAAAGATGTGAACATTGTACAGACACTAAATATTATCAGACCAAAAATTAGCAACATTTTTCAGAGGTCAAGAAAGATTTTGTTTATATTTATAAATTAGAAAAGATCCAGTGCAGTGGTTCGCAAAATTTAAGCGAAAAATCAATGTAAAATATCTCGGTTATTTTGGACTTCCTTGAAAAACGGTAAAGAGAAAATATGTTTCTTTAATCGAGATCTACCAGCCCTAAAAAATTTTGCACTTATTTAAGACTCACCCTGTATAATCTAACTTTGTATCGTTAGTTCTTTATTGGATTTATATAAATGTACGTTATATAAAAAAACACAACTTAATGTAGTCGAATATATAAATTTACTACTTTCATTAAATTTGTGTTTGTTACTATTTTGAAATGTTTCAAAATGATTTAAATAGATGACTATCTTGTAAAGCTTAAATCCAAAATATACATGTTATATTTTTGCAGGTTTTCTTTTCCACGTTTTTCGGTCCGAAAAAATCAATATTTTTTCTGTACAATGTGAAAAGAGAATTATTTGAGCTTGAAAAGAAAATGACATAATAAATATTTGTTCTATATGTATAATTTTCTGTAAAATCTAAATTCTAGGAACTCATATACCTGACTAATACAAAACCCGTGTTTTACCGTACAAAAACAAAATGCACAAAATATCTGCGTTAATAGTAAATTTGATTTTTGAGTAAGATCATCATAAGTGGACCCCATATTCTCCACAAACAAATTTCAATTTCATAATTCGAGTTTATAATTATGTTGATGTAAAGTTTATATTAACTAATAAAGGTATTACCCATATTTTGGAACAAATAGAACCTATTGATTTCATTTCCTAAAATTATTATTTTGAGAAAGTATTAATATATGAAATTGAATTCCATGATTAACTAGAAAATGAGGGGCCCACTTGAGATAATCTTGATCTTTTTTTAACTTAAAATTATTCGGAAGTTAATTTTTGAATACGCTCTCTTTTTTGTTATAAAGAAAATTTATAACTTTTGCACCAGAACATACATACATACGTACAATATTTTTCTCTCTTCTTTTAATATCGACTTATATATTAGTTAACCTAATGACTCAATGGGCGTTTTTGTAGAAAAATCGCCGCGGATTCGTGAATATCCATGTCGTCTTCTTCGCAATCCTCCCTCGAGCTAGGACTCCGCGATAGGGGGGACCCCATTCCGCTACTATTCGACGTCATTCCCGTGCTCATACTCAAATCTTCCGGTTCCGTTTGTTCCGGCAAAGGTACCGGTAGTGGTAACGTTATAATCGGCGTGCTCTGTGGATGCAAAATTCTCTTCCTGCTGAGATCTTCCGGTTCGGAAACAACTACAATCTGGTCTTCCGGTTCCGGTGTTATTGGTGATTCGAAAGTAGACACCATACCGCATTTGTGATGCATTAGATGATGACGCCTCCGAAATTTCATGTGGCATTTCTCGCAAGAAAACGGCTTTTCTTTGGTGTGGATAAGAATATGTGCCTTAAGTTGATTCGAGTCTGAAAATTTCGCGGTGCAGTATTCGCAAGAGTAAGGTCGTTCCCCTGTGTGAACCCTTAAATGTCTTCGAAGATTAGCTACTTGCACGAACTGTCTGTCGCAATGTTCACAATGGTAAGGTCTTTCTCCGGTATGCAGTCTCATATGGGTTTTTAAATGATGATCCCTAGTAAACCGTTTGTGGCATTCAGGACATTCGAAAGGTTTTTCTCCGGTATGAGTTCTTTCGTGGTTTTGAAGGACATGTTTGTATCCAAAGGATCTTTGGCATACTCCACAAGTAAATTGTTTATCCCTGTTGGGATCCTTGACATCACCTCCTGAAGGTGGAGATATGCTACTCGTAGGCGAATTTAACGGTACGACAATATTTTCTTCCTCCGCTTTAATTTTCTTCGTTCTTTCGACCACTTCGACAGCAGTACTGCTGGAAACTACGTTGTTGTTATTGAGGTTGTGGTTGTTAATTTTCCTGATTTTTTGTGAAGGAGAAAATTGCTCCGTGTTGGATGGAGGTGAAGGTGGTGAGGTATTTCCCCAGTTCAAGGGCATCATTCCCGGATGGAAGAACGTCGTGGGGTTAGACATCGATATGCGAGATGCGGCCATAAGTTGGCTGGCCATTAAAATTTGCGTCGACGTGAATAACGATGGGTTGGGAAAGGCTGGATAGCCCACCGGAATATATGGTGACTTTGGCTCCGGTTCCATCTTCCCTTCTCTTCCACTGAGAATACCTGGAAATAATATAAAATATTATTTTATGCTAGCTAACTTATTAAAATAGTATATTGTTTTATTAGGAGCAAAAATGATACTTTTTCTGATGAGGCTGTACAGTTTGATTCCGACATACAGCCGAGGCACAAAAAGGCATTTTTGCTCCGAATAGAACACGCTATTTTATTTTCAAACGCCACAAATAAGTTTTTAAACAATTTCAAACGTACCAAATATTATAAAAATATTTAAAGTCATACATTCTATGTAAGTATATATAGAGAAACTATGGTTACGCTTGTTGAATCACTTTATGTCAGTTTAATAATATATTTTCGTACTTTTATGCCTAGGCGTTAAAATGACTTTTTTATATTATCAATCACGTAGCAAAAATTAATAATTTTGTGACGTTTGAAAAAAAAAGTAAATTATTTAAATAATAAAACTGTCATAGAACTTTACTCTTTGACATTTTCTGAAATTTTGTTTATTGATTATTTGTATTTAAATAATTTTTTTTTATAAAGTATGGATATTTTTTATTTGACGGTTTTTTACTGGAAATGCTTAAATTTAACTTTTAAAATTTAAGACATACGTGAAGGCGGTGTAATTTTTTGCAAGTATTATTATTTTATTATTTTTATTTACAAGAAAATTGCACAGCCATGAGGCAAATAAGGAAATTAAAATTAATCTAATCTGCAAGTATACAGGGTGCTACAAGTTTGGGGTACGAGCGAGCATTGGTATCCCGGTAACAGTAATAGATATTTGTTACATTGAACATTGTTAAATTAGGGAAAAGTTGTGCTTTAGGATGTTCACCAAGATGCCATCAAGAAAGTTTTAAAAATTTCAAAAATTGCTGAGTTTTTTTGGATAAAACGGATTTTTCTAAAAATAAATTTTATTTTTTTAGTTCATTACTTGACGTCATTTGTAAAAGTGAAACCAATGTACTCTTGTACTTTTTATTTATAATAAAGAATATAAAATGCATTGGAAGTATGAGAAGAAGATATTATGCTCAAAGAGCTATAAATAAGATTGAACAAAAAATAAATTTGTGCATTTGGGAGGGAGGTCCCTTTCGAACATGTAGAGCATTTGAAACTAGTTTGTTGAAGTATATATATTTATAAACGATTAACTGATGACGTTGATTTATTTGTAACGATTAACGTTATGTATATTATTAGATCGTACACTGAAATTTTAAATTCATAATAAAAATATTCAAAAATAATATCTATTAAATTGCTGACAATTATTTAGTTGCATCTTTCAATTGGCTCGATTTTCCTTATTAAATAATAATTAGCGCTGATCAATATTGCTGCGATGAATATAATCAGATTAAATAATTTAAAAAACCAAAGTCGGACTTGAAATTATTTTAACTAATAATTAAATAGTTTTATTATTGTTAAGATACCCAAAACAAAAAAAGTATAAAGTGTGGCATATCATTGTACTCATGACATCGAGTTCTTTCAAAACTTGTCAAACTATTTAAAAAAAATTAAGTTGGCGTGTCTGTATCCAGTGGCGTAACTATCGATATGCCGTGTGTGAGAAGCACACGGGCCCAGGCCCAGGCCCTAGGGGGGCCCGGGCCGCCATTCCCATATCTATCACATGCTATCGCGAATCAAGCAGAATCGGGCGATCCCGAACTAAGTTCTTATCTATCATATGTCTTCTTAACTACTTAACTAGCACACGCTATCGCGAAAATAACTTATTACTTTACACTTGTTCTTGTGCAATTTTTAAACTGTGTTTTCCTTTTTATTTTGCAAAATAAAAATAACTGGAAATATGTGATTTTTCATTAGAGCATTAAATTTGACAAAAAAGGAAATTTGCTGTATTGTCACTGGATTTCTATACCATCCAATAGAAATAGAACTAATCTAGTTGTAGCTTCAAAAAGAGCATGAAAAATTATACTGTCCAAACTAATTAACTCAAAATCACAAAAACTCTAGTTACCTAATGGTTGTATTAAGCGGACGATAAGGCAGCTGAGTTACGAGAGGTGCCCAAAACTTCCACTTTTTTTGGCAATTATTTCAATAGAAAATGAAGTTACTCGTACAATAGACATTGGTAATATTGTGTCAACTTTCGCCCATACTAAAGCAAAGAAAAAAGAATTTTAACATGTTCATGTTCCTATTTACATTGTTTATTTTAATTTAGTTAGTTTTGTTGTTGTTTTTTGTTTTGTTTTTATTTATTTGATATTTTATATGTTTTTGGTTACATATTCTGTGTTGCAGTAATAAATAATACTATATAAAAATTAATTTGATAATGTTATTTCTGACCTAAAATATGAGTGCATATTATTCAGATTAGTATATAAGTATTGAAATATGTAGGTGTAATAGGGGGCCCGGTAAAATTTTTGCACACATGCCCGTGAGTCTGTTGTTACGCGACTGTCTGTATCACACCAATTATCAGCTAATTTGAAAATCTAAAAATACTCTCAGATAGCCCTAAAGTGACTATGAGGATGTGCAATCAGTTTGTTGATTTTAGAAAAAGTAACGACAGGAAAAAATAAAATTGATTTTCAAAAAAAACCGTTTTTCCAAAAAACTCATCAATCCTTGAAATTTTTAAAACTTTTTTGATGTCACCTTGATGAACATCCCAAGGAGCAACTTTGCCCGAATTTAACCATCTTCGTATCTATTACGGTTTTCGAGATACCAATGCTCGTATCCCGAATTTGTAGCACCCTGTATATCCTCTATTTAACACAAGTTCTAAACATCTATTGAATAAATCCAACAAATATTAAGTGTGTACACCTGTGCTAATACTCTCGATAAACTTTTAAAGAGCGGCAGTAAAATTACATTTTAAATGGCCATCGAGATCATGTCACTTCGATAACATTGCGCAAAGGAAATACGCGAAGCCTTCCATTCAATACGCGCACACCGGTATGTATTTTTATACTTTTCTTCGGAAAAATGACACAAAACGGGGTGTTTTCTGCCCGACAAAAGGTTATTTTATACGTGAACCCATGCGAGGGTAAGGCACAGAAAGAACCAACGTCTCCCGCCATTATGTATGCGACGTCTTAAGGGTCATTGTCAGACGTCTTGAGGGACGGGGTGTTTGGACACTTTACGCTAGGGTGGAAATCAATAATAGAAATAGGATGCCATGTGTTCAATGGGCACAGCCAGCTATATATTTATATCGTGTTGTTATTTACTCGGAGAGTACGCTCCGTTGCAAAATCTCTAAATTGTCTATGTTTGTTGTGGAAAAGGATTTATCAAAGGCTTTGATCTTCGAAAACGCTCGAGGATGAGGTGCTAGGCTACATTGTGTAGCATTGGAAGATTACGAAATTCTTTATCAGATGTAGGTCGGCGTAAAAATTGTTGCAATACGAAAACGATTGCTGTTGAAGTTACAGTATTTTTCGAAAATTTATTTACTAATAATATTAAGAATGTTTATTTTCTTTATGTTAGATATAAAAGAAAAGGATAAAACAAGTATTTACAGCTGGTAAAAGAGCTAAAAAATCTGCGGTCTACATGCACACAACCCAATTCTTTCAATCAACGATACTATTGATATTTTTAACGATATCCAGAAGCAGTCTTCGAACTGGCACTGGCACACAACATTTTAATTGGATATTGTCAACTAAACAGGCACCTTCAAAAAATATAGCTAAGTAACACACCATTTTACAATGGATGTCTGTGAGGGAGAGATGGTAAAACATGGTGTTATGTAACTGACAGGTCCTGTTTGAATTTGACATATTATAATTCATTCCTAATTATTTTCGATATACAGGGTGAGTTTCCTACGATGTTCTCTATGGGTATCTCGGAAACTACTGGAGATAGAGAGTCGTTTAAATGGGGAAAGAATTGCAGTTTTGTGGGGTCATAAATATGCGCCTTTCATATTTTTGAAAAAGTTCATGGCTTACTAGATATTTCGAAAAAAACAAATTTCGGCTATTTTAAAAATTGTCCCTAATTCCATTATAAGCTATTTTAGAAAAAAAGTTTTCAGATAAAAGTTGTAGATAATCGCATCCTTAAAGAGAGCGTATCCTCCGCTTTTTTCTAAAGCCTGTCATTTTCGACATATGATACAAATATATGTTTTTTTTAAATGAAAACCATAGTTGGCCATGACTTCATAATTGCGCCATTTTTTAAGCTTTTTAGTGATATAAGCTATAATATCTTTTCTTCGAAAAATTACTGAGTTATAGCTAATTCTTATCATTTTTAAACAATTTCACATAGTTAGCCATGGAAACAAGTTCAATCATCGCTGCACTCAGAAATGTGAAACTGTCAGATCCAAACTTTGTAAATTAAAATTAACCAAAATTGTAAATATGAACTTTTCAAATGAAGAAAAGCGTGTAGATACTCGCGCATTAATAGAGTGGTTCCAACATGACTTTTATTATGACACACTACCCCCCACCTCCCATAATGAAAGAAATGATAAAAATTATTTATATCATAATTAGTGTTGCACAAGACAAGAATTCTTGTCTTGAAAACCAATTTCTTGTCTTGTCTTGAAATTCAAGACAAGAAATTTTCACTTATAATATCACAAGAGCTTAAATTATTTTCGGAAATTTTTTTGAGGGCACGAATATTTTGAAAATTATTTTCCTAAAATATTCGTGCCCGAAAGAAAATTTCCAGGAATAATTTAAGCTTGCCTGGTATTCGGTAAGAAAATTTCACACCTAAATTTGAAAAAAAAAATATTAATCCAACATGACATTTTAAAATAATTTCAATTTGTTAAGTTGGCCAAGGTATTGCTAAAACTCAAATGGGTAACATTTCAATATATAGACATTGTAGTTCATTCACATTATGATTGTAGATCTTATGTTTACCTTTTCAACTGTCAAAAAATTTCCACTAAAGTTTCGTGGCGCCTCGAAAAAATTTCCGGAAATTTTTTCAGTTGCCATGGTAACTAGTCA